ATACTCTGATCACTGCATGATTCACCTTGTACCTGCTTACAGCCAAAGACTTAAAGCCACGAAACCAACAATTAAATCAGTGAGGACTTGGACTGAGAAGGCAAAGCTAAAGCTACAGGCTTGCTTTGATTGCACTGATTGGAATGTTTTGGAAGATACCTCTGCAGACTTAGATGAACTCACAAATACTGTAACATCCTATGTCAGCTTCTGTGAAGACCTATGTGTACCAACCAGGAACTTGAGAATATAAAGTAACAATAAACCTTGGTTCACAGCTAAACTTAAGCAGCTACATCGCTTCAAAGAGGAAGTCTACAGAAAAGGTGATAGAATGCTGAACAGTCAGGCCAGAAATGTATTAACAAGGGAGATCAGAGCAGCAAAAAGAAGCTACTCTGAAAAGTTAAGGAATCAGTTCTCAACAAATGAACCAGCAAACATGTGGAAGACTCTCAAAAATATCACTGACTACATCAAACCTCCTTCCCAGGCTGAAGGAAATCAACAGCTGGCAGATGACCTGAATGTGTTCTGCAGGTTTGAAAGGAAACTACAGCCACTTATCTCCACAACCCCCATCTCAGACACACCAACAACAGCCAAATCTCTCACAACTGACTCCACCCCATTGGATTCACAATCCCTGATGATCACAGAAAAATAAGTGCAAGATCTATTTCACAGTCAAAAGCCAGGAAAAGCACCAGGCCCAGACAAAATAGCTCCTTGCTTAAAAGTCTGTGCTGACCAATTGTCCCCCATCTTCACCCAAATCTTCAATAAATCATTAGAGATGTGCTACAATATCTTGAATCTCCAAAGACCTATGCAAGGATCCTCCTTATAGACTTTAGTTCAGCATTCAATACCATCATTCCAGACATTCTTCTAACTAAACTAAGCCAGCTAGCAGTACCGCATACAGATGGGAAATTGAACAACTAGCCTCACAGTGCAACCAGAACAATCTGGAACTGAACACACTCAAAACCGTAGAAATGGTGGTAGACTGTAGGAGAAACCCTCCCATACTACCACCTCTTACAATACTAGACAACACAGTATCAACAGTAGAGACCTTCAAATTTCTAGTTCTGTTATATCACATGACCTAAAATGGACACTTAACTTCAAAAACATCATCAAAAAAGCACAACAAAGAATGTTCTTTCTGCGCTAACTCAGAAAACTCAAAGTGCCCAAGGAGCTGCTGATCCAGTTCTACAGAGGAATTATTGAGTCTATCATCTGCACCTCTATAAGTGTCTGGTTTGGTTCTGCAACCCAACAAGACAGACACAGACTTCAGAGGATAATTAGGAGGGCTGTGAAAATATTTACAGATCCCTCACATCCTGGACATAAACTTTTCAATTCCTACTCTCAAAATGATGCTATAGAGCCCTGCACACCAGAACAACTAGACACAAGAACAGTTTTTCCCCGAACGCCATCACTCTGCTAAACAAATAATTCCCACAACACTGTCCAACTATTTACTAAGTTTGCATTACTATCTCTATTAATCTTCTCATCACTCTGTCACCCACCCCCTCCCACTTGTGACTATATGACTGTAATTTTGTTGCTTGTATCCTTACAATTTATATTGACTGCTTCCTAGTATGATTTGATTGCCTATTTGTACCCTATGACTATATTAAGTGCTGTACCTTAAGATTCTTGATGAATGTATCTTTTCTTTTTATGTACACTGAGAGCATATGCAACAAGACAAATTCATTGTGTGTCTAATCACACTTGGCCAATAAAGAATTCATTCATTCATTCAAAAACAGATAGTCTTAACCATTTTCAAGTCTCCTTTCTTTGTGTAGACTGCTTAGGAGTCTTGGTATCTTCTATCTTGTCAATTAGTATTCTAGTTAAGGCTGATGGAACTTGAACATTAAATGGAGGGTCACATATAGCCCATTTCTGATATAAAGGCTAAATGGTCCATACATTTGTTTGGGCAGCTGTATAAATTTGATTTAAAAAATTGGTAATTTATTTAATAAATAAATAAACAGGATGCAACAGATTTTCCTTACCTCACATTATAGTCAAACAAATTTGTTTCAGCTTCAGTTCCAAAAGGTGAATTTATTTTAACTGCATTTTTCATTGCAGAAGTAATGTTCTACTAGATTGTATTAACTGACCTACAAATAAACATGTTTCAGATAAACAAGGAAGTCAAATACATTTCTCCAAAATCCAAGTGAGTCCATAGTTTCACAAAATCTATATTAATGCATAGAGAGTATTTTTCCCTAGGGTTTTTTTTTAGGGGGGGATCAAATATCACATTTCAATACAAAATACCTTATTGCTATTTTTAAAAGGTTATAATAAAGCAAATGTGGTTGGAGATTATAAATATAATCCGCAAGTATTTGCCAGGCTAAGTGAATATCACATGCTGAGTAATCTACCTCACATTTTGGTGTCACGCCATTGCATACTGTACTAAATATGACCAACGATTCAGTGTTCTCCTCCTTCTCTGTCATTATTGAATTCTTGACTCAGAAGACGAATCTTGTGTTCTGATTGGCCCTGAGACTGGAGTAAAATTGATTGATGGGCTGACTGACTGTTCTGCATACTCCTGTGTGTGTCATCCTTAAATTTAGCCCTTTTGAATTGTTAATTTATTAAATTTGTGTACCATCCAATTCCCACCATGTCTAGGCAGTTCACAAGTAAAAACATTTTTAAACAATTACAACAAATAAAGAAAAAGTAAAAGACAGCAAAGATGACAGAAATTGGATAGGAACAGGAAGGAAAAAAAAAGTATCCAAGGGGGCTTCACTCACCCTTGCTAAATGCCAGGAAAGGAGCCAGGTCAAGTCTCTTCAGAACACCAGTGGTGTTAGTAACTGAATGTTTGAGAACTATTGGCTAAGTTTTATTTTACTACAATAGCCTATATCTTGTGTCTTGTGTCTAAAAAAGTAATATTAAATATAGTACTATAAGAGGTGGGCAGCCTCGGTCAGTGAACTTCAGTAACCTATCTTGGAAAGCATTAGAGAATGAAAATAATTCTAGCCTGAGCTGATATACTATACAGTACTGTATTCAGTCCAAGCAACATTTCTCTGTCATAATATATTTCTGCATTTGCATGGTAGTGGTAGAACCTCACTGTGCAAATATAACTTTAGTGGTATTTAATATTGTTCCCTGTCAGCTGGTTTCTGTTCCCAGGATGATAAAAGTGATGGAGTTCTGCTGTTCTGAAAGGTATTTGTAAAATCTTGTCAGAGAAATATTTATTATTTCCCTCTATTCTTCGAAATTGGGGAACTGAATCGAGTAACAATGTAGAATTTGACCCATTTTGCTTGTTTCATTCTGGAATATTCAGTATTTACATTTTATTCATGTGGTAATAGATAATAATTTGTGACATTATAAAAGCTGGTTTTTCTACTGCAGTTCATAATCACTAGGAATATAGATTGAATTCACATGTTGTACCAAGCCAACTTTCAGTTTAATTGAATTTGCTTAATTCAGTTTGCTTCAGTTTGTTTTATTGAATAAATTACAGTTGGTTGGCTTTCTAGAACAGTGGTCTCCAACCTTGGCAACTTTAAGACTTTTGGACTTCAATTCCTCAGTCAGCTTTGCTGGCTGAGGAATTCTGGGAGTTGAAGTCCACACGTTTTAAAGTTGCTAAGCTTGGAGACCCCTGTTCTAGAACATATGAAGCCATTAACATGCTTTGTGAATTCATTGGCTATATTCACGCCACGTGCAAAGCCAAAATTAAATAAGTTATATATGTCATATAATATTGTAAAAATTTGGCCTCAAGTTAATGTAACCTCAGGTTACAGCATTTCATGTTTTGTTTCTTCTTCTTCTTGACCCTTTGTTTATCTGCACTAATCTGATTGATCTGTGTCTGCCAAGTAAATGTCATTCAAAAGTGATTTTAATGTAGACAGTTCACAAAAATTAGCCATCTGGTTCATTTTCTGTTCTTTTGGGTAGACATAATAAAAGGCTTTTAGGTAGACATAATAAAAGGCTTCTGCTCTTCTGGACATTTGAAAACCTGATTTAAAATGACCACTAAAAACTGCTTGAAAGTGTGGGACAAATGTAATACTGATTTCTGTTATCATTAACACTGCTTGCGTGCTATGCCTGGCAATTAACTCCTTATGTTGTTATGAAAACAATGAGGAAACCTAGCATTAACACTTAGTGTTTATTTTCAAAGTGTACTTGGAAAATCCTACTTATTCACAGTGACCAGCAGACTATATACTTTTTTTGTGTGACATCTACACAAATAGCAGTCTTGCTTCAAATGTTGGCCCTTACGTAGTCAAAATAACTAGTTATAGTTGTACCAGAGGCTGTTCAAAATAAAAATAAAAACTCAAATAAACCAAAATCATGGAAGACTGAAATATATAGCCTAATGAAGTTTGAATTTACTCATTGTTTACAGAATGTTGGCTAGTGGGGAGAAATGGAAAAAAGGAAGATGGTGATACAATGGAGTACTGTAGACAAATAGCTGCCTGTAAAGAGGAATGGAAAAACTTCACACTGTACTAGTTGTTGCCGTTTTTACGGCGCCGATCAATGCTGTTTTACTCTAATATTTTGGTCAGTATTCCTACTAAACATTTTTAAAGCAACCAGAAGTTAAAAGCCAAGGCCTTATGTGAATTACCAATATATGGCTGATTTCCACCACCCCTCAAAATTCTGATAAATATTTGTTCAACTATTTGTATAACTGCTCTCTTTACTTTGTAAAGGCATAATATAAGGCCTTAACAGATAACAATTTAAGGGAATTGTTTTTATATGACAGTGAGAATAATAAATAATTGTAAACCTTTTTACATTTTTTATAATGTAATAGATTATGGAATGGTTATTGAGAAAAAAATAAGTTATAATAAGTTAAAAATGGATATGTTACAAACAAGTTAAAATGCTAATCCTCTTTTTTTCCCCAGTGGTCACTTGTTTGTGACAATGACTGGAAAGCACCATTAACTGTCTCCTTATTGTTTGTGGGTGTGCTGTTGGGATCCTTTATATCTGGACAGCTCTCAGACAGGTAAGCTCTGTATTTATTATTTTCATGCACAACTCATGTGTTCAGGATTACATTTATTTTTTTCCAGCACTATATCTTTATCTCTAATAAGATAACATTTATTCATTTATAGTTATAGGTATGCCATTTACATCAGCAATTCACAATATTTTGTATGTATAAAATAAAATATTATTTTTTTAAAAAAATGTTTAAAATACGGTACTGTTTTGCAACTCAGTCCACAAAAGTCCACAAAAGACTTGAAGAAAAGGTTGGTATTTCTTGTCCCAAGGGTATTTTTTCCACATTTTTTTCTTCATTCTTTGAGAACATTTTGCTCTTCATCAAAGAAGCTGCCCAATTGTCTTTTGGAAAAAGCACTTTTGGAACAGTCATGACCTGGATGATTGAGAATCTCCATAGATGTTGATGTTTCTTCTGTTTTCCAAACAATCAAGCAGGGAAAATAGCCTGACCTCAGAGTATGACCTGTTCCCAGGGTGAAGAGGCTACCTCTAGGAATGTATTTTCCCTTTTCCCACTCCTTTGGTCACTCTAAGGGGCTAAAATCTAACCATCTGTTGTTTCCTCATATTTTTTGTGTTTCAGAGGTGGTATTCAGCAGGTTCTGACCAGTTCTGGAGAACCGGTAGCGGAAATTTTGAGTAGTTCAGAGAACTGGCAAATACCACCTCTGACTAGAGATTTTATAGTATCCTTCCCCTGCCACACCCACCAAATCATAGCCACAGAACCAGTAGTAAAAATTTTTGAATCTGACCACTGTTGTGTATGTATTAGATTTAAACTTTATCAGAGCATTTGCAGCATGACTACTATTGTAAGACAACCCAGGAGCAAAACATAGCACACAGAGACTTAGACATTTAACAGTAGTTTATATACAAGACACTTATATACAGAAATATACATGGTAGGCAAATACTTTACAAGCAATCAAACTTTTTAACTCTACATGGAGAACTCTGCAATGTTTACAGGACACAAGGAGAGAGAAAACACACCCTCTAATGACTGCCTTTATATAGACACTTCTTCTATATTTATATCTGACCTGATTTCCTGTCTCTCCTTGTGTCCTATCTTCATAGTAGATTTTATCCATGCAGAGTTAAGAAGATTGATTTCTTGTCAGTATTTACCTACCACATATATTTCTGTATATAAGTGTCTTGTATATAAACCACTGTTAAATGTCTAAGCCTCTGTGTGCTGTGTTTTGGTCCTGGGTTGTCTCATAACCCTGCAGTCACGTTACAAACATTCTGACAAACTTGTACAAAGAATCTTTATCATCTTTCTTCCTTTAAAACTTTATTGAAATTTCATAAGAAGATTGAAGATGCTGTCTTCATGTGTTTGAAGTATAACATTGTTCATATGTTTGAAAGTTGACATCCTTTTCTGATGCTAATTAGCTGGTCTCTGCTAGTTCATTATTTTCATAATAGCCATCTGATTTGCTTTTTTTATTATTATTATTTGTCTCATTACAGATTTGGTCGGAAGCATGTGCTGTTTGTAACGATGGGGATCCAGACTATTTTTAGCTTTTTCCAGGTCTTCTCAACAAGCTGGGAGATGTTTTCTATTCTCTTTGTTTTTGTTGGAATGGGTCAAATATCTAATTATGTGGCAGCCTTTGTTCTTGGTATGTGATTGTCTTAATGCAAACAGACCTTCTCAATAGCCTGACTCGCTAGCTCAGCGAGGGGCATCTTTAATTTCTTTCTGTCTTCTCCACAGCATTATTTCCAACATTATCAAGCAGAACATAATTTAAAAATGGATCTGATAAAAGTAGAACCGGTAACCAACTTCTTGTTTAAAACTTGCGTTCAATATGTATGTTTATTGTATATTGTATTGTTCAACTGGAATAAACATCTGATTTGAGATATCCTTTCAATTCTTCTAATATTTTGTTCATGATCTGTCCCTTCTTACATATTCTGCTCTATATTAAGGGCAAGATCCCCAAGTTGGTGACCATGCACTATCCTTCCTGCAAGGGCATTAACAACATTCAGCGTATGTCAGCTGGAGGGAGCAATTTTATTCCTCACTAATGATCCTGATTATTGCAATACACTTGCCATTTGGTGAGCTTCTCACCTTTCTCCCGTCATTTTTCAGCAATGGTAGATTATTTCTCCTTATTTAATATTACATTTTTTTAACAGTTTGCTCAGTGGTTTTACATGAGAGGAGAAATTCTTCTCCTATTGGAAAATGCTTTTTATCTTTGTGATTCAATCTCCTCTCTATCTCTTTCCTGTGAATGTGTTTGTAGGTGTGCCCCTGAGCCTCCTTTCTTCCTCTATTTCCATGTCTGAATCTTTCCGAAGAGTGTTAATTTCTCTAAAAATGACTTACCCTTTCTTTATTTGTCCCTATATAAGTGTGTGAGTGCATCTATCTGTGGGAAAACATGTTTCAAATCCAGCACCGGTATCATCAATATATCTGTCAACAACTGCTTAAAGGACCTTTTCTTGGGCTTATGCAGTAGCTGTGCAGGTTCTGGAGAATCTTTATTTAGTTAAGACAGTGATAGTTTGGTGGTAATGCATGCTCACACCTTGCTATCACTGCATACAGGACACTCCATCTGAACAAAAAATGCAGAGTTTTCTGTGCACCTATAAAACAAACTACAAGGTATCTATTAAGTATCAAAACGGAAAGTGAGCAAGTAAAAGAGACAATAAATAATAGTATGGGCTAAATTTTTTGGTTATACAATGGAGTTGGATAAATGGCAGAAACTGTGGGACAGGAATTATAAATTAATGCTATCAGCTGCATATTAAAAAATCTTTATAAAATGTTTTATATACGGCACTTTTCAACCACAAAGTTGGCAAAGATGTTTAAGGACATGTCCACTAAACGTTGGAAATGTCATCAGATACCTGGTTCGTATTATCATATGTGATGGACATGCCCAAAAGCAAAAAAATATTGGACAAAAATACTTACATGGTTGGAAAAAATGATAAAGCAACATATAGATTTAAAACCAGAAATATTTCTGTTGGCATTTTACCAGATAAGTATAATAAGGAAATACATATTTGATTTTACATGTATTAACTACAGCCAGAATTGTATTTGCACAACAATGGAAAAGAGAAGAGATCCCTATAGATGAAAATGTGATTTAAAAAAATACTAGAATGTGCAGAAATGGATAGACTAACACTTACAATTAAGGAAAAGGAAGAAACAATACTTTTTGACATGGGACTTATTTTATCAATGGTTAGCTTAATAAAAACAGAAGTTAGAAACATGTAGATGAAAGAAAAGGACTAATGATATAAAGGAGATTTGTTAAAATGAAAAAGCAACTGTATTATTATGATTACTATTATTATTATTACTATTATCATCATCGTCTCCTACTCATCAAACATGAAACTCAGTCAACTGAACATTTAAAAATGTAACACAAATATCATTGACTGGGTCTGATGGTTGATATGGGTTGCTGGCAGCATCCTAGGTATCAACCAAGTATTTTCTTAAAATGTACAATGTTCCGAGTGGTGCAGTTTTTTGCAGTTCCACTGCTGTTATTGCGGGAAGGTGCAATTTCTTGATGTATTTTATAAAATTCTTGGACAAGGTACCAAGTACCCAGGTGACAATAGGTATCACTGTTATATGTTTCATCCATAATTGCAATATTTTGTGATCCCCCCCCCAAGTTATTAATCGTACAGTCAGCCAGATGTTCAAACTGGGTTTGGCATTTTTGTCTACCTCTTGAGTCCTTACCAAGGACCTGGGATAGGCAAATCTGGATGTTTGATGGTGTTACAGGTATTGCTGCAGGATGGAAGCTTTTCCAAGTAAAGCTGCCTTCTGCAATTGACTGACTGCAAATTTGTCAATGCCTATGGTGTTCAAGTGGTGCTCCATTTGTTTTGGGACTGCACCCAAGGTGCCTATTACTATTACCTTGCTTGCCTTTGCCGTAGTCATTCTATTTCTATTTGTAGGTCTTTGTATTTTGTTATCGTCTTCAGTTCTTTCTCTTCTCTTCTGCCGTCTCCAGGCACAGCCACATCCACTATCCAGATTTTTTTTGTCTTTCTTATCAACAACTGTTAAGTTTGGGGTGTTATGTGGCAGGTGCCTGTCTGTCTGGATTCTGAAGTTCCAGAGCAATTTAACTTTTTCAATTTCTATGACTTTTTCTATTTTATGGTCCCACCAGTTCTTGCTTACAGGCAAATGGTATTTCTTGCAGATCTTCCAGTGCACCATTGTTGCTACTTTGTCATGCAGCTGCTTGTAGTCAGTTTGTGCAATCTTCTTGCAGCAGCTTATCAGGTGGTCCACTGTTTCTTCAGCTTCTTTGAATAGGCAGCACTTACTGTCTGTTCCTGTCTTCTCAATTCAGGCTTTGTACACATTTGTCCTTAAGGCTTGGTCTTGCATAGCCAGAATTAATCCCTCGGTCTCACTTTCCTGCTCTTAGCCATTGCAAGGTCTTGTTATTATCTACTTTTCCTGCTATTTTTTTAAATGTACTGGCCATGTAGTGCTGTCTTCCCATGCCTCTGTTCTATTCTTCATTTGTTCTTTGTTGTAGGCCAGTTTGGTCTCCCTGGTAGTCAGCAAGCCTTCTTGGCATATTAACTTCAGTGCATCTTCTTCACTGTCCTTCAGATATTCTTCCAAAGACCTTTTTTCTTCTTCAACTATCTGGTGTACTTGCAACATTCCATGCCAACCTATTTGCCTTGGTAGGTAGAGTCTGTCAATGTCACTGCAAGGATGAAGAACATGAGTCATTGTCATTATTTTTCTGGTCTTCCTATCCATTGCTTTTAATTCTGTTTGAGTCCAGTTCACTGTGCCAGCTGTGTATCTAATAACTGGTATTGCCCAGGTGTTGATTGTCTTGATGGTATTTTTTCCATTAAGTTTGGACTGTAAGATCTTTTTCACTCTCAATGTATTCACCTCTAATTTTTTTCTTGACTTCAGTGTGCTTGTCACAATTGTTGTCAGCTTGAAAGATACCCAGGTATTTGTAGTAATCATCTTCATCCAGACTCTTACTATTATTTTCATGGGGCATCTTAATTCTTTCAGTTTTCACTATTTTTCCTTGTTTGATAGTGAATTATTATTATTATGACAGTATACACAGCAAACGAGATAACTATGCTGGGTTTCGTATCACAAATCACTAGTTGAACACTTCCCAAGTGTTGTTGTTGTTGTTGTTGTTGTTATTAAACTAAATCAATGTAATGAATATTGTTTCAAACATTGTGATTATTATTTTCTAAAAATATTTGTACCCAGACAACACACTGTTTAATTAAAAATGGAATCTTTATATGTTATAAAATAAAACAAAAAGTATATTAAAAAAATACAAACTACAGAAAAGTTACACCCTAGAGCAAGAGTGTCCAGGCTGGCTCCAAAGTACCAGTTCAGAACTGATTCTGCATTCCTTCAAGTAGGAATGGTTGACATACAGGTAGTCCTCGACTTACAACAGTTCATTTAATGACTGTTCAAAGTTACAATTGGCACTGAAAAAAGTGACTTATGACCATTTTTCACACTTACGATCATTGCAGCATCCCCATGGTCACACGATTTACATTCGGATGCTTGACAATTGACTCACATTTATGACAGTTGCAGTGTCCCAGACTCATGTGATCTCCTTTTGAGACCTCCTGACAAAGTCGGTGAAAAAAACAGATTCACTTAACAACCATGTTACTAATTTAAGACCTGCAATGATTCACTTATACAAATGGGGCAAGAAAAGTCGTAAACTGGGGCAAAACTCACTTAACAAATTTCTTACTTAGCGCCATGTAGGCTCAGCTGTGGTTGTAAGTTGACTACTACCTGCATACAAACTCACAGAAAAAACAACAATTCAATGTATTTTTATCAGTTTTTCCCATATAGTACATAAAAGAATTGGTTTGTATAGTAACATGTGAATTCATTCATTTTCCCTTGTTTGAACAGGTGCAGAAATTCTTGGCAAATCTATCCGCATTATATATGGCACATTAGGTGTCTGCATATTTTATGCATTGGGCTACATGATGCTGCCACTGGGTGCTTACTTCATTCGAGACTGGCGATTGCTGTTAATGGCTCTTACTATTCCTGGGCTGTTTTATTTTCCATTGTGGTGGTGAGTGTTTACTATTTTGAAGTCCCCATTGCCCTCCCCAATTAATGGCAACTAATACCCTTTGTGTTAATTGTGATAATTGACATAATTAAGATTGAATAGTACTAGCTAATCTTGATAATTGGTTTTTGAATTATTAATAAGAAATAGTAGTACTAAGCGATAATTTTGCTACTTATTTGCTAATAAGTAACCTGTTTAAAAAAATATAGCTAAATTGGACTGGATTCCCAAGGAAACAAAAATAAGTTAACCTCTTAGGTAGAGGTATTCAGCAGGTTCTGTCCAGTTCTGGAGAACCAGTAGCGGAAATTTTGAGTAGTTCGGAGAACCGACAAATCTCTGACTGGAGATTTTACTGTATCCTTCTCCTGCCACAACCACCAAGTAAAAAAGTTTGAATCCCACCACTGCTCTTTGGGTTACTTTGTTAAGAAAGATTTAGGATTTGAATGCAATGCAAATGAATGCAATTGTGAAATGAAGAGCATTACTGCATTACATTTCTGACCCATTCCCCTAAAGTTTCAGAGGAAGAAAAAGACCCACAAGAGAGAATGACTTGGGAAACGTGCATTTCTCTCAAATTTGGTCTTGTACAGTCTGGAATTCATCCAGATTTGGTTTATGCTCACCTTATTAGAAAGGACTTAGTAGCATATTTTATAATAATAAGCCATAGTCATTATCCAGGATATTCAGTCCTCATTCACTGCATATTTTTAAAGTATAAAAATCTTGCTGAAATATTGTATTTTCTGATATACAGTTCATTTTTATGATCCATCTAGTAATAAAACAGTTCTGCATTAAATTTTTGTATCTAATAATAACCTTTGTATTAATATATTTCTACACTATACTGGTTGATGACACAAAAAAATAAATCATAGGATTTATTTTGAAATTCAAATACAACTGTGGGGACACTGCAACTCCCCCTACCCATATGTCTTTTCCCTCCTATCTCAGCCCCCCTCACCCATCCCGCCAGCACTCAAAGCTGCTGTGACACAGGAGGCCTCGCTCCACCACATCCAGAAGGTGTAAGCCCTTTCCTTACCCCACCAGATCCAGGTCCACTTACTTTTGTCTTTCTGTGCAGCTGCTAAGAGGTGTGCCAACCTCCAAGATGTGAGATTCAGACAGACAGCTAACAAACACAATGTTCTGAAGGATAGAAAGAGGATTCTTCTACCAGTCAGAAAAATCACGATAAGAGTGCCATCTCTCATGAAGTTTTTGGCTAGAAAGCTAGCAAATGCAATATTTCTGAAGGGTAGAAAGGCTAGCACAGGCAGACGAAGGCCTGTGGTATACTGGAGAAAGGAAGCTCAAATCTTTGGGATCTGAGCTTGATTTCTCTGGCCCACCATAGATGTTCCCTTGCCCTCATGGAGGGGAGCTGCCTACCCCCTTTCATCTGACAGTTCTTCCACTCCATCTGCTAACGGCCCATGCTATTGCTTAATGACCACAACTGAGAGAGTGAGGATTGTGATCATTGAGCAAAGCAGTCATGTGGGGCTCTCAATTAAATCACAACAAGAACTTAACAGCCAAAATTCAAGGTCCAATTGTGGTTGTATGTTGAGGACTACCTATATAATGAATTGGAAACTAACCAAATGGGTCCATTTACTCAACTTTTCTAAAAAAATCTATGCTGTAAATGCATTGTATGTTGTAACTAATTAACTAAGCATGTACTGTGAATACAGATTTGAATGGCCTTTTGAGATCTCTTGCAGTTCTATGATTTTATATTTTATATTGTTTATTATTTGGCAGTAATCTGATGTAGGAAGATATATTGTAATAATGTTTATTCAGCAGGATCTTCAATCTGATTCTCCTGAGTTTAAAGTTAATTCCAAAAAAACAGTATTAAAAAAATAGAAAAAAGCTATTGTGTAACAATTCTGCCATTAAATAACTGTGTGGACAATTTATTAAAAGCATATAAAATATTACACCACAAGATGGTGCCACTGCACTCTTAAAAATTGGAGAAGATACACCAAGCTTTCAAATACTTCTAGAATCCTACTCCCCCGTCCCAAATTTTGAAATATCTGTTAGTCCATAGTTATTATATTTCTAGAAAAAGCTTAAATATATTTAGCCACTCCATCTCAAATGCTTGGATGCAACTAATTCCATCAATCAGAGCCAAGGTGTGTTGGAGAAGTGTTCCTACAGGCCTGATCATAGTTTCTATTATTATATTAGCCTTTCGTCAGAGAACTCATTTTTTTCCAAACTCACAAATGTAACATTTCCATCACATTACCTTTAAAATTAGGAACAAGTCATGCTGTGTTACATGAACTCCTGTTTCTTTACTTTTGTTACTGCTCTTGCCCACTGTGTATGGTGGGTCATTTTCATGTCTTTGAAAGCTTTTCGAATTATAGTCTGATGTAAACCAGAAAAATCACATTTTCAGACATTCGTAAAATAACAAATTATCTTATTGGGATAAGGGAAAACCTCCACATTACAGCATCTCTGCATTTTTCAAGCCTAATTAGCAAATCAGCAAAGCAATCAAGTTAGGTTTTATAAGAAAAAAGAAAAGTCAGTAGAAGAGGCATCCTGGTTATCCTTCTCTTCCCTATTCTCCATTAAGGACAGCTAGTCCTTTCAGTAATTTTTGGACCAGAAAAGGGATTGTTGACATTGTGGGAAAACTTCCTGGATGCCCAGTTAACCAGTTTTCGCTGGCAGTCAAAACTGAAATAGCCCCAGTGGCACAGAGCCTTGTTGCTGGATAGAAGAGGCAATCCTTCAGTGAACCAGTTGGAGCTATGTAACTGGGTCCTCTTCTATGTGACATAAAACATTCACTCAGAAGAGGACTTAATGCAGTTGCTAATGAAAAATAACTAGTTTCCTTCCAGGTCATCTTGATGCAGCCTCAGCTTCCCTCAGCGGCAGACCAGCCTGAAGATGGAGTTCTGATGTGAGGGTATATACATTTTTAACCCAAGCATTCATAGCTAACTAAAGGCTTTCTTAAGGGACATCTTTTTTCCTGAAATAGTATTTGCTTGATAATGTGGGAAAAATATTTGATGATTGTGATGACCCAGGGGGAATACAAAAGCAACAAAGTCACAAAAACAGGTGAAGTCCCTTTAATTCCTTCAACTTGGCTTCAAAGCTCCAATTATCATTGACTGGAGAAAAAAATTCCCCCACAAACAGTTGGGAAAAGGAAGAAATGCCATTCAAACTCAATATATATATAAATTATAAGTAGAAAAAACCAACACAAACCATACTGAAGCAATTAGGGAGACAAGGAAGGATAAGGGCTTGAAGACGTCCACAGATATTGAAATACACACACTGGGAAGGAAACCAGAACCTCAGATAAGCAATGAAAGACTAAAATTATTTCACGCTTTGCTTCCAGCACTGGGCCATGTGCAATTTGTCCTTTTAAATAGTCCTTAACAGCTGCAGCCCATGAAGGGGATCAGGGCCCCTTCCTCACCTGTAGACCACACCATTCACGTTTCTCCCTTATTTTCTCCTCCCTGCATGCCCTAGGATGAAGATGGGGGATGGGCCTGGGTCTTCCTCTGACTGCCCAGCCGGCCTGTGCCCTTCCCCAGCTTCCTCCACAACCTCCGGAGCCACACTTCCACTCCCTGTTGGCTGTTCCTCCTCTTCCTCGGAGTCAGACTCCAACAGAAGCATGACAGATATGTGTATCATATCAGGTTTGCAATTCTAGTTATTCTATTGACATCGCATTAAAATACTTGCAGGTACATTCCAGAATCTCCTCGCTGGCTACTCTCTCAAGGAAGGATTAAAGAAGCAGAGGATATCATTCGTAAAGCTGCAGAAAGGAACCATGTTGAAGCCCCCGAAGTAATATTTGATCTTGCTGAGGTAATCATGTATATTGAATCTGTGAATTAATGTATTGCTACACTCCTGTGCTTGAAGAAAAATAACATGAATTAAAATATTCTGTCCTTTAAGTCCAAAGTCTTCCAGACCCTTTTAATGAAATTGTTGGTTATTGATTCTTATGTGAAAATTACTCGATGCCATTTGTTATAATTTTGCAGCAGTTTACTTAGCATACTGTATTTTTCAAATAAGTATTATTTGCAGGTTATCTGCTTATAAGCCAACAGGTATCATTTGATTCTCATACGCATGTATTATTTTATATAGCTGCAAGATTTGAATGCCCAAGTTCAGCAGTCCTGCAGCATTTTGGACCTAGTGAGAACCCAAAATATACGAACAATCACTATCATGTCTGTGATTCTATGGTAAGCAACTGATAAACTGATTCCTAAAAATTTTCCAAAGTCCAGAAACCAGAATTCAAAAAGTCAATTGGGATTACTCTTATTTACTTACAGATAAATAAAGGCGTGGGGCACTTCTTAGACTTGCTCATGGAAATCTATGTATCAATCTAAATCTTAACTTTTATTAGTCCAAGTACCATTGTTTTTGAAAATTAGCTTTCAAAATATCACCTACTCTAGAGATTTTATGTCTCTGTCTAATATGACTATGTCAGTCTCAAATGATTTCCTAGTTGAACTGTTTCCAGGAGCAAATTTAAATTCTCCACAAGCCAATTATTATATCAGTCTGTCTTGATTAGCTAGTTATGGGTATTCTGAATGACTTGGAACTTGAAAGAACACTAAAGCACTCATTCTGCCACTTTTTGCAGTTGCACTATTTCAGTAAATTGTAAATGTGACTGGCCTCTAGAAATCACCTTATTCTGTTGTTCATGTAATGCCCACAACCTTCCATTTTATACCTCAGCTGACATTTAGGCTAAGGATTTCTTGTAGATATAGATCTATGTGTAATTACTGTTTATTTATTTGTGCTGATTTATGACTGTAATAAAGAATAATTTATATTAACACACACACATGCACATACACACACACACACACACCTCAATTTATGTTATCTTTTCTCAAAAGTTATACATATCCAATACTCTGTCGTGTGCTCATCTTGGATTTTATGCATGACAAAGGGAGAAAGGTAGTCTTCTATTCTGTATGAATGGAGCACAGCCCTGGAAAGAAATTTTAAGAATAGTTGCTCTCTGAAATTTACTGGCAATTTTGCCAATTATAAAAAAAACAGCACCAACAGTTTAAAGTAAAGAATACAAGTGCATAAATGGAAAATTGCCTCATAGTGTGTAACATAATAAATATTCTGTCATTCCAACACTAATAGAGATGCAGGTAGTTCTCACTTAACAATTATTATAATAATTAATATAATAATAATGGGACTGGCAATTCTGTCACCAAGTGATACAGTCACTATCAAAACATCACATGACCACAACAGACTGACAACCTCTCTTCCCCTGTGATCATTAAGCAAATCACTTACGTTCGTTGGGTGAGAAATCATGTGGGCATGACTTGCAATTTCACTACTGGCTTTTTCATTGACTCTGCTTTTTGGAAGCTGGCTGTGAAGTGCATAAAGATAATTTGATGTGGCCATAGGGCGCTGGAACAGTCTTATATATCCATTGGTTGCACAGTCTACCTGTACGGCACAGCACAAATCCCATGCAGAATAGTATCGTTGCCCCTATATCCTTATTGTCACCTAGATCTGTCTTTCAGGATGGTGATTTCCATAGGCTACTTTGGAATCTCTCTGGATACCCCTAACTTGCATGGAGACATCTACCTCAATTGTTTCCTTTCAGCAGTAATTGAAGTTCCAGCTTATACTATCTCTTGGCTGCTCCTTCAGCATCTGCCCCGGCGTTATTCAATGGCAGGAGTCTTGTTCTTAGGAGGCTGTGTCCTTCTTTTCATTCAGTTCGTGCCTACACGTAAGGCTGTTTTCCTTGACACTTTATAGCTATGGGGATAGCCAACTAAGGTGGTTTTTTTAAAAAGCAGTATTCCATAATAATGCTATGATGCACAGAAATATATTGCAGATCTATTTCATTTTGTGTTCATCTTGTTTCTCTAGTGATATAAAATGATGTGCTATAATTCTGATTATTTGTTCTTTACTGTAGTGGCAATTGAATAATATCTTAGATTTTCATCTGATGTACCATGTCACAATTAGAAAAAATATATAATAGAAAATCTACTTCAGTAGATGTATCTGGTAAAGTAGATTCTTGCCTGAAGCAGAACAAAATAGTTATATACTATAATTATAATAAAATACAGGTATTCCTCATTAACTATCAATAGTTGGGACTGATAACCCCATTACTAAGATAAATGACTATTAAGTGGTCACATGACCATGACTGTGTTTTCCTTTTCCCCATTCCCGAATCTTTCCTTCCTTTTCCCCATTCCCCCACCCATTCCCTCCCTCTCCTCCCACTCTACCCACAGCGCTGAGATAGTTGGCTCAAAGCTTATCAGTTTCTGGCTTAAACTAATGAGACTCCTAATCACTTCTCCTCTTGAATGGTCACTCGGGCACTGGGATAATTAACAATAAGGGAATTAATGTTTTATTTACATTCATTGGAGAAAAAGATATTATAAGAGAGTAAGCAGGCACACAGAAAATACACACTGAAGGCAATGTGGTGGCACTGGCAACAGTGAGAATGCTCAGCAAACAGCCAGTATTTTCTTCACTGTGTGCCAGCTTTACTCCCTTGTAATCCTTTTCTCTCCAATCTCTGCTCTGCAGTGGATGGGGGAAAATAAAAACAACAGGTCAGGCACAGGGCAATGTGGACTGACTGTAATGGTGTTCATGTGATTGTGGCGATCGAGTTACTCAGGGACAGGCACCATCATAATTTTGAACGGTTGCCGAATGGGGCACTTAGTAAGTGAGGGTTATCTATGGTATAAATGAAGAAGTGAAACAAAGGCAGGCTATTGTTTTATTGTTTTACTGGCAGCTTTAATTTCATTTTGTTTGGCTCTTGCTTATAGAGCTCAGTATTCTGGCCATCATCCTCATGATGATTGGAAAATTTGGGATCACAGCCTCCTTCTCAATGGTTTATGTGTACACTGCTGAGATGTACCCAACTATTGTGAGAAACATGGGAATTGGAGCCAGTTCAATGGCCTCCAGAATTGGCAGCATCCTCTCACCTTATTTTGTGTATCTTGGTAAGTTGCCTGTTTTCTGTTAACTCGAGATCATATGCCCTGCTTTTTAGTATTACAGCAAACGGTTACTGGTCTCTGATGTACACACTTATAACATGTTGTTGCTTGGAAAGATGTATAGAGATGGAGAAGAAGATCTCAATTTCTGATCTTCATTTTGAGGAAGTCCTCTTCCAGATCAGATCCAAATAAATCTATAAATATAAACCATGCCTCAAAGCCACAATATTAGGAAATGTGAATTGTTAAGCAACTTAACAGGAATAACTCATTGCTACTTGTCCTTTCTACTAGGTGCCTACGATAGATTTCTTCCCTACATCTTAATGGGAAGTTTAACGGTGCTTGCAGGAATCCTGACCCTGTTTCTCCCGGAAACTTATGGAACTCCACTCCCAGACACTATTGAACAGATGCTAAAAGTTAAAGGGTAAGGATGTTGCAGAGTAGAAATAAGCAAAAATTCCACCTTATACTGTAGCAGATTATTTTGGAAAAGCATTTGAAATTTATTACAGAAAATACTAGAATATTGTAATATATTCCTACCATAAATATTATTAGGATATTTAAAAGAATGGCATGAAGAATAATATAATGGAAGAAATATTTGAGTTTAAATTCAGGGAGTCATTGAGAATTAGCAGCATACAAGTTTAGTAAATTATAAATTATTAACATTTAAGAAATTATTATTAAATTCCTGGAGAACAGAGTTATGATATGCAAGAGAAATTCCAATTGTTCCTTTTCTAACTTTTTGAGACCAAATCATAGTTCTGTTAAATTAAAGCTATATAGAAATTTCCCAACAACGTTTTCAGTAGTTATTTATCCCAGATTGAAAGCATGATTAGGTCTAAGTTCCTCGCAGCTGAAAAAGATGAGGTTAGTTGACATTTGGGTAAGTCATGTGTTTAAACATAACAAGCCAACCAAATATTTGTATTATGATCAGAGCGTGCTCACTCGGTTCCTGAGTTCCTGAGTCTCCAGAAGTCTCTAGAATGCTACTTTTATGTCATATGATAAGCCTATATAAACTACCTTAGGTTTCCCAAATGACACAGCCATAGACTTCCATAGAGGGGTGAAAATAGAGTTTAATGAAATTATACCACAGCACAATTTTACTTTTACTGTTTCAGCATAAATGTTATAGGGATGAATATCTTTCTGACGTCATAATGCACATTTTATCATTTATGCCTTTGTGCACTGGTTGGTTTGAAGCTAGGCATGTAGAAACATTTACTGCATAGTAAAGAACAAGCATATTTCTTAAATATGAAGCTGAAATATGCTTGAATTATTCTGGAGGATTACGTTATGAGAATGTCTTTTTTTCTGTTTCCTTTTTTACAGAATTAAAAATATAAAATCACAGAAACATCAAGATAGAACAGAGCATACAGAAGAGAATTCAGCTATTCTAAAGACCACAACATTCTGATGAAACTGCATTGTTCACAGTATTATACCTTGGACATTTCCTTTAATTTTCTTCCAGAAAAGACTAACCTACATACTTTTTTCCTAAGATGGGAAATATATTTATTAAAAATACATTCATTTTGAGATTGTAGATACAATCTATCCCAGTATGGGATTTTTTTTGCCAGAAATTGCTTCATGGAACAGTGTTGGATATAGAATTTTTTTCACTTTTAGGACACATCAACAACTATCCTTTTTGTGAGACTGCATTTTTAAAAGATTCTTCATGGTACAAGTTAAGTGTTTTAATATCACTTTTTCCATACATACTGTCAAAAAATTAAATAGGTAATAGAGTTTGGATGTTGTCACTCCACCTTGAGATTCTACACCTTTTCTTGAGAGAAAAAATAAGCTTGAAATGATATAGAGGAAACTGGTAGAGTAGACCTTAAAATAATTATGCAAATAACTGAATGCAGTAAAAGGAGAAGAAATTGAAGTTGATTCTTTTTTATGAGCACATTTAATAGAAATAGAAAGACAAATGTTCTAATGCAAAACACTGGCAAATTAGTTTTGTTTGCAGAATTAAATTCTTTACTGCAGATTTAAATGATAGCTATATACAGTTGTTTATAGGGAATAATGTTTTGCCTTATTTAGACATGTTTATTTTTTTTATCAAAAATTGCATTTTTAACTCTTTCATTTTACTGTTCATTAAATTTCCTCTGATGCTAAAACACATGCTCATCTGTATTTCCAATTTTTTTAGTTTTGTACTATTTGTGTATAAAATAGTTATACAGGTATGTAATAAAGATATTTTATAATGCAGAATGTATTAATTTAATGGGAATGTACCAATCTGGGTCCTTCAATTTCCCTAATTGTTGCCCTTGGAGTAAGCAAAGAACTATTTGAAATGAGTATCATGGCATTTATAAACAAGGTTGTTGATCACACTGTTGGAACAAATCTACACAAAAACATTAACCATAGATTCTAGGAACTATAAATTGCATTTATATGCTTTTTTTTCCAATCAGGACTCTGGTTTGCATATTATATTATTAAAAGAATTAAATGATTTTTATGATGCATACTGCAATGAATTTTACACAGATTAAGAAATCTGTTGTATTATCAAGCTGTACTTTTGCTGTGATGATTTGTTGGTTGCTTTAAAACTCTAGCAAAAGTGACACATAAATATATTGAAATATATAAATACTTTTGCTTCTAGTAGATACAGAGGATATAAATATTTCAAATAAATGTGTGGAAGCATTGTAGATTGTCTGTACTCCAATTGCTACCCAATTCCTTGAACTTGCTGTTTTCCCAGTAAGAATATGCATAGCATCTTATCATGACAGTAACTATTGTGCTAATTGTAAAGGAATCTCCTAGTTGACGTTGTAGCACTATGCAGAACATGCTAAAACTACTTGCTTGATCTGACCTGTTTTGAAAACCTCGTAATGAAATCTTGCTCAGCAATACATGATAGGTTTTCAATATTATTATTCTAAAAGCCTTTTTTGCCTTAGTTTTCCTCAGAGACTATTTGATTTCATCTCTTCAACAAGTATCCTGCAATGTTCCTTTGAAAACCAGGTTGTCAGCCTTGTAGCTTGGCAGGCTACTAACAGGAGTCAAGAGAGTTTATAAAGAAAATAATAGCATACTCTTTTTAAAATATAGCAGAATATAAACTAACCTCTTGACAGGTTCATGTGCTTAAAAACATTCCCAGGGTTGTAGCCTTTGTATATGAAGTTGCATTTTGTCAGATGTTTTAAATAGTAATTCTAAAATGATTTATTTATAAAATATTTCAATATTGGGATGTCACATTAATTCAAAATAAAAATGAATTTATTTCTTGGAAAAATGTGTTACTCTTTTGAAAATGTTTTCTACATCTCTCACATTTGCCCTAAACAAATAAACAAAAATCCCAAACTTGAAAACCTCATAAAAGTGTTTCCCAAAGTTCTTGATAATTGTAATTGTTCTTTTCTGTATCATTTTAGTGGCCAAGGAGCCAGAACTGTACAGAGTTTTCTAGATGCAATAACATTGTAAACATTACAATTTGTGAATTTTATTCGTACCTTGGGATTTATATTTTTTACTGTGGTGGTGGATCCTGTACTAATACTGATTATGTTAATCTAGTCTAGGTAATGAAATATCTGCAATAAAACAACTCAGAGAGCACCAAGGATCCCTCATTTCAACCCTGAGTTACAAATATTCTTCTCCACTATCATTTTCCATCAAACTTTATGGGTCACATTTTGTATCATGGGTGATTGAAGACAAACAAGCAAGACAAGTTATTTTCCCCCTATGGGTTCCAAATGTACAGTGCTTGTTTTAAGTGTTAGTGGAGAATTCCAGGAAAAGGATGGAGGCCTGGAGCAAGACTGGTTTATCCAGATGTTGCTAGCAGACCATCTTCATGTATTACGCAATGCTTAAGAGTTCTTTTCAGGACTCTGCAAAAGCACAGATTCTCCATCTGGTTTTGAGAGACCTTTTAAAATGAGACTAGAAATGCAGGTATGGAAATATGGTATGATATGAAGATTGATTTTTATTTTAATAGTTGCCTTTGTGTAGAAAGTAGAATAAAATTTTTGCATTGTCAATGCCCTTTGTTGTAAATTACTATGGAAATGAATAATCTACATTCATGCAATAAACTTCTATGCAGATTAGTGCCTATAATGATGCAATTGAAAGAGTTTCAATTGTAGTCAGCAGAGAATCAAGATAGTAAATAATAGCTTTGGCCCACCAAGAATTATTTCTACAAATGCAGCTTCCTTTTTGATCTGAACAGTGTATCACAATATTAAAATTAGGTTCAGAGTTGCAGCTCAGATTAACCCAGGTTCCTCAAACAGTCACCTCTCTGTGAACACCTTTTTTACTTTCTCTTTCTAAACCCGGACATAAAACATTGCAGAAATAAAAGAGAAAGCAATTGTAGTCTTGCTTTGATTTAGGAATCGGAGGCTTGCAGTTGACAGAATTGAATGTGGAAGAGAGTCAAATAGGAAAGATGTTGTTTTAAATATTTAGAAGTAATCAAATCTGCCAGTAACACCTGGATTAAGATTGCTAGTTGTTCCTGATTCTTCTGCATGACCACTGAAGGATATTTGAAGACTCCTGAAGAAAAGAAGCAGTGCACTGGGGGTAACTTGATACTTTCGTGAAGAAACAAGTTGGAAACCATTTTGTAAAGTGCATGAAGAAACTCGGAAAAGATAAGTTGCTTAAACCCAGAAATAATGAAAAATAGAAAGGAGAGAAGAGGTCAAAGGGTAGGGACCTCTTTATTATAATGAAAAGGCTTTTATTTCCTTCCTGCTTTTCCCACCCTAATTTTGTTTGAGCCCAACCAATCTTTTTGTGAAACTGAGGAGTTGGCTTTCTGATTTTTAATTGACCCTGATCGCTAAAACTGAAACTTTTTCATCTGTATTTTTCATCTTGTAGATCTAAAATTAATTGTAAAGGAAGATGTTTGATGTATTGTTTTGGTAAACTAGTCCTCAGTTCTTTAGTCTACTTTTTATCTGCAGTGTTTTTGTGATAATAGACTTATTATCAATATTTTTGATAATACAAATATTTTTATAAAGGACCATTAGATACTTCTAACTCGTACAGATGATGTAGCTATGATTAATGTTTCCTTATCTATTTGGCTCTTGGGAGCAATGTGTTACAGAAAAATTTTCACTGTACATGTTTGAAAGCTATGTTTTCACTTACAGTGAAGAATGCAGGGGAAAGAGAAGCTTGTAAGTGGAAAACGTTGACATTTGCGTCACAACCCCCCGGAAGAGATGTGAACAAGAATAGCCAGCCACTCTCCTCTCCCTTTGCCCTGCTTTTATTTTATTTTTTAAATACACACAGAGACTTCTGGAGGCTACTTTTGGTTAGTGAAGGGACGAGGCAATTTGTTTCTTAATAAAAGCTGTGCTACTAACGTATTTCACATAAGCTAAAGCTGCTGCTAGATTTGGATTAAAAAAAATTCTCCTCTGCACGTGAGCAGGCTGATGGAAAGCTCAGCCTTGATTATGTGTTGACCGCAAAGAAAGGATATCTCCTATATAGCCCATAAGAAATCTGATCTTTATTTTCAAAGATGTTTATAGCAGGCTATTTATCAATAAACAGAAGCAAATGAGAGCAAAGTTCAACTGTTCCAATGGGCTAGGTTAAAGTTCTCTTTAACAAATGTCAAATAATTCCTTCACACATTTTAAAAAGATTATTGAAGAATGCCTTATAGCAGGGACCTCAGGGACCACTAAATTCATGCTTTTAAATCCCATTGACCACTAATATGGGTTTTTTTTTAAAAAGATACATAATATTTAGTGCAATATAAAAAATGCAAATAATTTTTCTGCAGACCACCAAAATTTTCTCGCTGGCTGTCAGTGGTCCGCGGTTGGTGACCACTGCCTTATAGCACTGCAATATGCCTTGAAACATTATATCAAGGACCTTATTTATGATTTTTTTTCTTTAGAAAAAAGATATTGCATTATTATTGTTGCGGTTGGTGACACAGTAAAGCTACCTTTTGCAATTGAGTGATGGTGATTTTGTCAATGCTGATGGTGTTCAAGAGATGCTTTAGCTGTTTTGGGTTTATTATTACTAATCAGCACGTTTCTTAAAGGTCTAGAGAATATTGGGAATATAAGGGGCAGTTATCAACTTATATTGATTCAATTGAAACATCACAACAAACCATGATTTGCATTTAGAAATGCACAGGTTGTAGCTCCAAAGCCATATGCCACTTAATGAATATAGAGAAAAGTAAAGTCCTACACTTAGGCAAGAAAAACCAAAAGTACCCATATAGACTGGGTGAAGCCAGGCTCAATAGCAGTAACTGTAAGAGGGATCTTGGAGTCTTAGTGCACAACCAGCTAAATATGAGCCAGCAGTGTGCAGCAGCATCCAAAAAAGCTAATGCAATCCTAAATTGTACTAACAGAGGGATACAGTCAAGATCAAGGGAAGTACTAATGCCACTCTATAAAGCCTTAGTAAGACCACACCTAGAGTACTGCATGCAGTTTTGTTCACCACATTATAAAAAAGATGTTGAGACTCTAGAAAAAGTACAGAGAAGAGCAATCAGGATGATTAGGGGGCTGGAGGCTAAAACATACAACGAACAGTTGCAGGAACTTGGCTTGGCTAGTCTAATAAAGAGAAAGACCGGGGGAGACATGATAGCGATCTTCCAATATTTGAGTGGCTGCCACAGGGAGGAAGGGGTCAAGCTATTTTCTAAATTACCTGTAGGCCAGACAAGGAATGATGGATGGAAACTGAACAAGGAGAGATTTAACCTGGAAATAAGGAGAAACTTTCAGACAGTGAGAACAATCAACCAATGGAGCACCTTGCCCTCGGAAGTTGTGGGAACGCCATCACTTGAGACTTTCAAGAAGAGATTGGACTGCCATTTGTCAGAAATGGTGTA